TGGAGGTGGGTGATTCATCAACAGAGATTGATAATGAGAGTAACACTCTGGATGTTACTGTGGATCAAGAAAAAAATAAATATTTGGCAGAGGGACGGAGGAAAAGAGGGATGGGCACAGGAAGGAGGTGATTCACGAGGAGGAGAGTAAAGACTCTTGGCTTTTAGTGTGAAGACAGAAGATGGTAGTAAAGCGAGTAAGAAGGATGATTCATGAAGATGGATAATTAAGAGCCGAGTAACAATTCTTAACTTTGCAGTGAAAAAAAAAATAGAAAAATGGACTCTGGGGACAGAAAGACGGAGGAAACAATGGGAAGAAGGAAAGGAGATGGTCCTGAAGATAGACGAGGAATGTACAGTCATGCTGCTTTCTTTTGTTCTAGATAGATTTCGAGTAATTCAGCAGTGAGCTTTTGTTCCACAGCTATACCAAGTTAATGGCCTCTCCAGGGATTTCAACAGCCCATTCAAATCTCTTAAGCTTTTCTGTAAACAGTCATTCTGTTGAAGCAATGTATCATTATCACCTCTATTCACAAACCCAATCAAACCGAGCTTTAGGTGTTGCGGCAGAGAAGTGCTAAAGGGAAGTGCATGCTTGTTTCAATCAGCGGGAAGCATTCCTTTTTGTATCTTGCTGCGAATGCGCTGATTTGCTTACAAGGCTCCTTTTGAAAATTTGCCAAGTGGTTGGAGACTTTAACAGGCATCCAAGGCTGTTTTTAAAAGATGTAGCTTGTCACTGTGAGATTAATTGCAGTGACACAGATGTCACAGAACTACTGCTACAACAACCAGAGTATATGGCCCTGATCAGTTTCATGAACATCCAAATAGTTGCACAGTGGGGGGAGTAATTTCAGAAGTCCCATTCATTTTCTCCATAGACTATATGGGGTGACTGACAGCTTAGGCACTTTCATGGCTTCTGTAGTAACAAAGTGTTCCAGGTTAAATCATCAGTTTTAAATCATTTAGTGTATTAGTGTAGTTGTTGCTACTGTTGTTGCTGTGCGTCTGTCTGTCTGTCTCTCTCTCTCTCTCTCTCTCTCTCCCCAACTGGTCGAGGCAGACGACCACCCACC